TCCTCCAGCTTCTCCGAGCTCCCTTCCCGGGCTCCTGTCCCCGCCTCCCAGGCTCTTCTTCACCCTTCAGCCTCGCTGGCCGCCCCCTCCTCCTCCCCCTCCGTCCGGCCTGTCTTCCCGCCCGAAGCAAACTCGGGCAGAGCCCGGGGAGGGCTGAGTCAGGCGGGCCGCCTTCCTCCCTCGTGGCCGTGGGAGCAATGGCCCACTCGTGCGGCCTCTCCGCCCTTGCCGGCGGGGCATGCGTTCCTTTCACCAGCCTGAGAAAAGCCGGGCAGACTTCCTAAGTCCAGCTCGAAACCCCTCCTTCCCAGAGGCATGAGCTTCCCGGGGAGCGGGGTAGCGCCTGGGTGGTGGGGGGAGAGGGAGGGCCCCAGCCGGGCTCTCTGCCCGAGCGGAGCTGCCTTGTTTTGTTTGGTGTTTCCTCTTAGAACCTTCTGACGTTTGACAACAGCAGGCGTTCAATAAGTGCACATCAACGAGGAGCGGGTAGCAGTAGGAGATGCACAAGTGTTAGCTGCACAGGGCTCTCAACAGCGGGAAGGAAGGCGCAAAGCTCAGACGCCCCCAACTGAGCAGGATGGACCTGAGAAGACTTCATAAAATAAGTCAATTAATTAATGAAGTGGAAGGGATTTAGATCGACGAGGGTGAGAGCTGAAGAACCTCTGTGGAAGGAGGAAGCCCCAGTATCTCTGAGCTGTCTATCCTGCAAGGCTAGGTGGCTTCTTGAACAGCCCAGCTCCAGGTGCAATCTACCTGGATGATTTGGGGACAGTCTTTTGGTCTCAGATGGTAGTTGAATTAAATGACCTTTAATTACACTCCCAGTTTTGAGGATCAGGGAATACTTTTTACCTTCTGCTTTGATAAAAGTAAGAGGGCCCAAATGCAGGAAGGAGTTCACATTATTAATTATTCCAGTCCATACTGATTGGTTGTTGGATTGCCAGAGCACTCAGGAAGTCCCATGATGACAAAATGTCCTGGAGCCGCTAATAAGTACCACGCTTTCTGGGCTGCCCAGACACCTCAACATAAAGGTCTTAGACGAGTGATTACTAGATCAAATCTTTGTGATGTGACTTGGACACAGGAAATAATAGAAATAAGGAGATCAGAAGTTTCAGTGGAACCATCAGTTTCAGATCTGTTGAAATCAGGCCTATGTTGACTTTCCTTAGCAAAATATTGTATTTGTTCCCGTTTTTTTTTTTTACTTCAAAATAAGATATGTGCAGTGTGCACAGGAATTTGTTCATAGTTTTTTTTTTTAAACTATAGTCTGGCCCTCCAACGGTCTGAGGGACAGTGAACTGGCCCCCTGTTTAAAAAGTTTGAGGACCCCTGGTTTAGACTAATGTAAGTAACTCACAGGTTAGGTTCTAGCCGCTTCTCTGTGATCTCAGCCAAGTCACTTAATCTCTTTTAGTCTCAATTTCCTTATTTATTCAAAGAGATGATCACTGAGGGTTCTTCCAGCCCTGCTATCAAAGAATGTGAGGAAATGAGTCCACATAGTTAAACCGACACAAATAATGATGGTAAATGACTCAGCTTTGATTATCAGTCTGGCCTTCATGTCAGGTTGATTATTTGTCTTGGACTTGGGGGTTCTGATTAGACTTTAGTATCCTCTGGTGCAATTTGACTTTTGACATCATCTCCTCTCACACTTGACCACAGTCTTGTATGTTGTTTGTCTATTACTCTCCTCAGTCATGTTTGTATATGAGAAATCTCCCAAAGGAGAGATTTTTTAAAATACACATATTCTGCCTGCCAGGAGGCTGCTGATTTCTTAGGTCAGCAGTCAGGGCAACTAAAGGCCCAAGACACTCACCAGCCAAATTTTTACATTTGACCAATCATCAGCCAATTTCTCATGGGTTTGTCTGCCAGTAAATTTCTCATGGATTCGTGTGCCACCTCCTCCTATAACTTCATCAGAGACAACTGGAGACTGTAAGTACCACTTTGGAGCACTGAGGCCTATATAAAATGGGAAATGACCTGAGAAGCACCATAGAACAAAGAGGGGGGAAGTCCCTCCGAGACATCATGTTGGTTTAAAAGAGAGAGATCACTTTGTTCACTGGAGAAGACCATCTCCCCTTCATTTCTATACTTGGGGGTTAAAAAGTACTGGCTTTTCGTTGTATGGTCTGATAAAATTGTCAAGGGCCCAAGTTATTGTTTAAACCAGCTATTATAAATCTCCCATGCGTGAGAGAGAGACAGAGGAAAAATGAAATGTGTTTTCTGCATCTCATCTCCTCCCAGAGGAAAGATGAATTAGCCGTTTACAGTGATAATTTCATAGTTGTCTAAAGCCAGCTGTCTCTCCTTCCTTTCTGTTATGCACTTACTTTTCAATTAAAAAAAACAGACGAGACAGTTAAGAAATTAGACCGTTCTAAATAAGCTAATTTGAAAAATATGCCCAATGTATACTATTAAATAGAAAAAGTCCAAGTTGCAGAATAAGTATTCCAATTGTTTTTTTTTCTTTTTTATTGAATACTAGAGGCCTGGTGCACAAATTCATGCATGGGTGGGGATGGGCCGACCCACCCAGATGGGGGCCGATCAGGGGTGGGGCCAGCCAGAGGGAGGGGCTTTGGGTGGTTAGCTAGCAGGCCCTGCCCCTGATTGGGGGGTTGAGGGGCTGATCAGGGGTGGGACCCCCCCCCCATCAGGCCAATTGGCCGGCCTCAGTACATGTCATAGCGACCAGTTGTTCCGGTCATTCCGTTGTTCTGGTCGTGTGGCTTTTATATATATAGATATTGGGGTAATGTTGGTTAATAAAATTATATAAGTTTCAAGGGTACAATTCTACAATACATCATCTGTACATTGCATTGTGTGTTCACCACCCCAAGTCCCATTTGTGTTTTTAAAAGGGGAGGATGGAAGAGAGAGTATGTTTTTAATGCCCAGAACATTCTGAAATAAAACACAAGAAGTGTGGTTACCTCTGAGGAATGCAAATGGAGAGGAGATGTGGCAGCTGAAGGCATCAGGAATGCAGGGAGAGTAGAAACTTTTCCTTTTCATTTTATATTCCTGTACACTGTCTTAATTTTTATAACCATGTACTTTTCGAAAAATATATTTTTATTGATTTCTGAGAGGAAGGGAGAGGGAGAGAGAGAGAGAAATGTCAATGATGAAGGAGAATCACTGATTGGCTGTCTCCTGTACGCCTCCCCACTAGAGTTGCAGCCCACAACCCGAGCATGTGCCCTTGACCAGAATCAAACCCAGAACCCTTCAGTCTGCAGGCTGACGCTCTATCCACTGAGCCAAACCAGCTAGGGCTATAACCATGTACTTTTAATACTTTAAATCTTTTTTAAAGGCCTGGATTAGTCCAGTCTTTATCAGCCTCCACCAGGGTGTACCATGCATGGCCAGGGCCAGAACGTGCAGAAGGGGAGGGTGCAGCCCATCAACCTCATCTGCAGACCCTGCAGAATAGCTCTCCAATTTGGGTGTGGCTTTAAGAGCAAGTGAACTTGCAGATGGAGGGTTTCGATGAGTATATGAACCTCATACTAGATGATGCAGAAGAGGTTCATTTTAAAACAAAGTCAAGAAAACAACTGGGTCAGATCATACTAAAAGGAGATATTGCTCTGCTCCAAAGTGTCCCCAACTAGAAATGACTAATAACGTGAGAAATTGTTGAGAAGGCAATACAGGTTGTGGTTTTAGGTGTCCTTTGTTGGGAGTATAGTTCTTAAACATTTATTCATATTGCTTTGATTACCCTTGTGTTATTACCAGATGACAATAAATGCTGTCAGATTGTTTTTGTTTAAAAAAAAATACTATGCCTGGCTGGTGTTGCTCAGTGGTTGAGCAGCATTGACCTATGAACCAGGAGGTCACAGTTCAATTCCTGGTCAGGGCACATGCCTGGGTTGCGGGCTCAGTCCCCAGTGGGGGGCATGCAGGAGGCAGCCGATCGATGATTCTCTCTCAACATTGATGTTTCTGTCTCTCTCTCTCCGTTCCTCTCTGAAATCAATAAAAATACATTTTTAAAAAATACTAGTTTTGTGTGTGTGTATGTTTAAAACTCATTCTTCTACCACACCCAAAAACATATGGTTTGGTAACATATTACCTAAAGATCTAGAACCTTTTACCTTGACAAGCCAGGAGTCCCAGGCCTACCTCTTTTTATTCTTCATACACTGCTTAATATTTTTGAGATTTCCTAACACCTTAAACGCTGTCAAAGTGAAGTATAGTTAAGTCTGTAAGCCATCTTAAATGTTGTCAAAGTGAAATATAGTTAAGTCCGTAAGCCATCTTAAATGTTGTCAAAGTGAGGTCTAGTTAAATCTGTAAGCCATCTTTCTGCACTGTATACTCTTTTAAATGGAGTGTAAGGAACAGGTTTTTTTTCTTTAGCACTTTTCTAAACCACAACAGTGGCTGTGGCCTGTTCTTCCTCTCTGCCAATTGTAATACTCAGGCTGATGGCCTGCTGGGGTCTGTACCATCTCAAATCAATAACCATGGCTGAAATGCCTTCTG